TTTTGCTCAAGCCCCCCCCCCCCCCCCCCCCCCTTCTGAGTAAGGGCTGGTGCTCTCCAATGAGCAGGGTGCATGAGTTTTGCTGATGGCAGCTAAACTGTGTTTGGTTGTCGGGTTGCACACTCATGGCGACCAAAAAGGTATTCTCTAGTGCAGATCATTCATCTACAGATACACACAGCTATCGAGTATGTGGCAATTGTGATAACTGATGTAGTAATTTATAATGCTCATTCATCATGCACTGATATTATGCAGAGCAACATGCAGCAGATTGGGGTTCTTACCTGGGCACACCAGGGGGTACACCTGGTGGGATACGAGCTGGTCGGGATGGGATCTGTGGAGGCGCAGAGAAAGGGTCATTGTTAGCAGCAGGGAACGCCGCCACTGGGCCGGGGCGGGAAGGGATAGGAGGGTATGCAGAACCTCCTGCTGGCACAGGTATGAGAGGGGGCCCTGGAGTGGGACCCCGGACCGCAGGAGGACGGCTGGGGGGCATGATGGTGGTAACTGGCCTCCTCTGCACATTTGGACTGGAAAAAAAAAAAAAGTAAAGACATTAATGTCCGAAGATAATAAAAATCCATTCATACATAAATGACACTGGACAGGGTTTTGCCAACCTTTGCCCGCCGCTGGAATTCTGCAGCCAGGCGTCATCCACCGGAGGAGGGACAGGGGTGGTGATGGTGCTAGTGGTAATATCCCCGATAATGTGCAGAGCCTCCTTCAGTGCATGGTACATCCTGAGCATTTCATCTCGTCTCTGAGCCTGGTCCGCAGACTCCTCCATCAAACTGTTCTGGTCAGTGGATGAGTAGAGAAATGCCAGCAGCTCTGAGTGAATGAAATCTTTTGCCTGTTAGAAAAGAAAGTGAAAATTTGTTCAGCTGCTCCTGTGATTGACACCCCCAACTGCCTAGTCAAGTAGAGGACTTGGCTTCCTGATTTAGCTTTATAGATTACTGCGTCACCGGCCTGTTCATTGAGCAATGCATCTGCAGTGTGATTATCCACCTCATCTCAGACTGGAGGCAAATTGGTAACATAGGAAGTTGTGAAGCTGAACCAGAAAACAGTGTTATCAGCCTGGTTATGTGGTGTAGCAAAGGTGTGCGAAAACCAAAACTGACTGATCAGAAACACAAATCCCTTAGCAGGTTTATAAGTTCACATGTATATTTCAACCGTGCATTTAGCAGTCTGTCCGCTACCTACAGGCTGGTGCCCCAACTTTTCTCTACTGCAGTTAAGCAATGTAGTTTGTGACTGGACAATGAAAGAGCAGCAGCAGACTGATGTTGCCTTTCTTCTCTCCCGTCAACATGTGTGCATGCAGTAGAGCCTAAATGGGTCAGACTACTGACTCTCCCTGGGCAGGACATAAGGGGCCAAAACTGGCCACTATCTGCCAAGCACTTGAGGGCGGATAAACAATGGGGCTGAGAGATCAGAAATGCCAGATTTGAAATGTTGGCATCTAGGATTTCCAATGACCAATTTGGAGCATCTATATGAACATTTTCTGGGGACGGAGGATAACCCGGCATTACCCAAGGACATGGAAAAGACAGGGGTCAGTAGCCATCACTAAAATGAGATGTCTAGCAGTATAACCCAGGGGTACATATAACTGCACCGAAACTGGGAAAATCAGCCACTGCTCCTATATTTTAAGAATTAACCTGAATCTAAAGAGAAGTGTGATGTGGATGGGAACTGTTCTGTTGGCAGACCAAAGAGCTACAGGGAGACTTTTACATGTGGGAACACATATTTTGTGTGCAGAGGCAGCCTGTGTTAAAGCAGCCCATATATGCCCTCATACATGACAATAAACCAAGCCAGTGTAGCGATAGCATACTGCTGGCCCACATTACTGCACCATGCTTTCTCAAAGTCTTAAAGCCCCCATGGATGCCTCAGATTTAGGCAGATTCCTGTTGAACCAGCCAATGCTTAGCTTGCTTTAAAAACCGACTGAGCCAGGTGGAAAATTAATCGGCTGAATACAGCGATATCGCTGTCTTCACTATAAATTGTCTGCTCACATTATTTATCATGAGGTGCATTATGGTCTTTGGCATGAGGTCACGGATGGACTTGTTGATGATTCCCATGTAGGAGTCCACCAAATTCCGGATGGTCTCCACTTGTCTCTCCAGCTGGGGATCCATAGAGAAGGTGTTCTCTTGTACATCGTCTTCATTTTCTGTCTGAAATACAAAAGAAAGGAAATCATCTGACCTGTGCAAAGACAAGACTAGTTTCTTAGAGAATGCTCAACCTGCTTACTCAGAGGAAACTATTATTGCTTATTGATCAGAAATAACCAAGTATAAAAGTTCTACCCATAGAAATCAGATTCAGCAATGATATTTCTAAAGCAGCAATGAATAGAGGGACCCGATCGGCAGTAATAGGCACATATTTTCTTCTGCTCGAGAACTTACCAGTGGGCACCAAATTATGTAACACAGATTACACACATCGTATAAGGAATGTCACCAGCACACCAAAAATCCTTTTGAAGATCACCAAAATGTTCATTTATTCAGAGGTGATCCTTAAAAGGATTTTTGGTGTGCTGGTGACGTTCCTTATACGATATACAGCAAGTGGCACCATGCACAGTCATTACGAGCACCCTTCCCCGACAGCTGCGATATCAGGTAAGGAGTGCAACAAGCCTTCTCTACAATACAGATTACACACAGCCACATCATCCATTTACAGATCCTTTGACAGTCCAAGCAACTACCGCAGCAGAAGGGCTTGAAGTTCTCAATGGAATACAAGTGTGATGTCACAGCACTTGTAGTCCATTGACACTTCCTCCCATCCATGCTAGTGAAAGTCCATACCTTGGTACCTCTGCATGAGCCAGGGCATTGCACCCGTGATCCACTGATCGCAGCTGCAATGCTTCACTGGCTCCATGCAAAAAAATAACAAAGGAAGCCACATTCCAATCACGGATTCTATTTAGCAACAATGCGAGGCATAATAAAGGAGACGGCTTCAACTCTGCTTGTGTAATAATGTAGAACTACCATGCTCAGAGAAGTAATCTGCACGGCTCCTTGAACTCTACTGGACATTTGTGTCACTTACTTGTCTGCAGCTTCTGTTCTGGAGCCACCTACATAAGAAATGCTGAATCATTAACCACAGCACGACGAGGTCATTATTACCTGGTCTTTTTCAGGGTATACTCCCGCTCGAAGGAATGAGGCTTTCCAGCTATCTACGTCCTCTTGAGATTCACAGGCGAGTTCTATTTGACGTAGATCCTTATACACGTTTCTACAATGACCATACAAAAGACACATCAGCATATATTTTTAGCAGAGTAGGGAAAGGTTAGAACACTCTCTCTATATATTCCTTGCAGATTTTTCAACACCTTTTGTCTAGGGCATAGTTTCAGTCAGGACACCCTTTACAGGAGTGCAAACTCTATGGGCACCCCAGTCCACAATGTAAAAAAAGCAAACACCCAAACTGTGGTCTAATCTATAATCCTAGATAGGGTTCTGGTATGGATTTTAAGGGGGACTCCATGTAAAAAACAAACAAACCGCTCTTTACATTGGAACACCCCCCTTCCACATCAGGAGCCCCCCCTCACATCAGGAGCCTTTTTTTTTTATCTTCCCCACAGCGCCAGTATCCCTCGAAGGAGGCGGATGGGAAATCTTTGGTTGCAAGCTCCATTCAGCCAATCAGCTGCCAGCTCCATTCAGATAATGTGACGGCTGTCAGGATACAATAAAGTAGCAGGAGATTCATCCATCGATGCTGTTTAGTGTGGATGGAGGAATCTGTTTTTTGGGGTTTTTTTTGTGCAGCCCGCATGTTGAATGAAAAAAATAGACCTACTTAAGAAATAGGAGATCTCTACCAATAGTGCCCCAGATAGCAGTAAAGCCTGATAGGGATCCCACTTTATCTAAAAAAAAAAAAAAAAAAAAAAAAAAGTTTTGTCTGGACATGCACTTAAAGCAGATGCTAACACATCCAGGAAATAAATGATTACAGAATGTATGAGAGGAGGAACCTGCCTTTTAATGAGCCATATAAATACCCAGTGCAATATAAATCTGCGACAGGCAGCTTACCCCCCTCTGGCTGCTCACCTCGACTCTGTGTTAAAAATGCCAAAGATGTGCTTGTTGGACATGAATCCCTTCTCTACATCTCGGATCTTCAGGTTGTCTAGAGGCAGCATGTACTTCTTCTCTTTCTCCTGCAGGGGCAGAGGAGAGATCATTAACGTGTGAGCATGTAAAAAGTTATCAGCCACAGGTACCACATTCTGTCAGCAATGCAATCCTGATACGCAGCACCGGTGGCCCACACAGTTCCTTTTTAGCATTTACTTTTATTTTAATAGCACAGACAGAGCTACTGACAATGTATAAGCAAAACAAACATTAATGGATGTCCTAAAAATGACAGATTTTTTAATTTTTATTGTACACAAACTTTTTGAACATTTCTAGCTGCCATGATGGCGCCCATCGCTGAAACTTTGAGCAACTGGGAAAGAAAACAGTTAATGGAAGGCGGCTTATGTTACCGGCTAGCGATGCAACATCTGGAACAGTTTAAGTGTCTGGGAGGACTTTTGGCTAAGGCCTATGCTGCTTCCACATGGAGGCTGCTGGATGCAGAGCCCCCCCAGCCTCCTAACCCCTCCTCTCTCACTTCCTGTAGAGCCACAAATGTGCTCCGAAAGGCTGAAAGCATTTCAATGCCACGTCACAGGAGCCTGGATATCCTTGGGCTCGCTCTGCAGCATCCACTCCTGCAGCGAAATAGGGAAGCCCGGTAAGAACCGCAGCTGGGGTTCGGTTAAATGGGTAGGTAAATCTGTTTTATGACCTCCTTCTAGAGGACGAGTTGGGATCCATGGAAAGGGTGGATGGGGTGGGTGAGACCCGGTATAAAAGTAGAGAGGAAGGGCAGCATTTATCGGCTACTCACTGCATGATATATAGAGAAAAGCTTTGCATTGAGTAATTTATGGGGGGACAGACTGAGGATTTAGGATTACTGGTGATAATGCAATATAACGAGCAGTATGGAGAAAAGGGATTTAATTAAAACGTGTAAAGCGTGTGTGGCGCTATGTCCGCTCTCACGTTTTTTTCTAAATGAGTGCAAGAGAGGGAAAGAGAAAACTACAGTCAGCTATGCAACTACTTAAACTTACTGTCCATGCAGAGTCCAGATGCCTTGAATTACAGAGAGATGTAATGGACAGAATGCTGCCTTTTCTCTGATGCTTCTAGCCATGCTCAGAGAGGACAGCCTAGTACAAGTGTAGAGAACTATAACCATTCAAGCAGTCCTACCCTGCACCATTCCCATGAGACCTACCACCCTAACCTCAGCCCCATTCCCATGAGACCTACCACCCTAACTTCTGCCCCATTCCCATGAGACCTACCACCCCAACTTCTGCCCCACTCCCATGAGACCTACCACCCTAACTTCTGCCCCATTCCCATGAGACCTACCACTCTAACTTATGCCCCACTCCCATGAGACCTACCACCCTAACGTCTGCCCCATTCCCATGAGACCTACCACACTAACTTCTAATCTCCCCGCTGCACTTCACCACAAAACAGCTGAAAGAACCTTGTGCCACATGCTTGAATGCACTGCTCCTTTTTTTCTTTAAAGGAATCTCCACTATAAAGCCTGGAATGAATCATTATTGCTTGGCAGTTTTAAGCGGTACTTAAGTCAGTAGACTCTGCTGAATCAGCAAGGCTCTAGCTGGCCACGCAGTAACATACTGATCCAATTATCAAAATGGTCTTTGCTGTACGAGGAGTGGGATTGGATGTACATAGATTTCGTTCTGACCCAGCAACAAAACGACAGCATTCTGTGAATGGACAGTATAAGACTTACGATTTTCTCTAGTTTGGTGACCGATCTGAGTTTTTAAGTAATAGGGTAGTGCAGCGTTAAGCTACGAGAAGTAAATATCCATCACACCTAGCAAAATCCCTCCCTTTTGCCTATAGATTAAGCACTGTTCAGCAAAGCAGTGCAGCCTCTTCAAACCTGCACACCCTGAAGTAGGAAAAACGGAAAGTCTTCGAGCCTTTTGTAGCATGTGATGGACCAGTCTGCGCCATGCAAGGCTAAGTGTGAG